TGCTTTAAAGAGAATATTAACTCTGGTATCACCAAGTTTACAACATATGACATTTTGAGGTTATGCAGAAAACCCTTACCATTTTGAAGCTAACCAAAGCAGTCAATGATTTCATTGCAAAAAAACTCCGTTCATTTTGTTACAGTTCAGTATTATACAAATGCGCCTTTATCTTTGTAAATGTATAGCCATAAGCATAAAAGATATACCAGCTACATATGACTCCCATATGTGTACCTTTCTGACTAAGCTAATGAGTTTAGATCAAAATAATGCACACATGAAATAAAGTTTCTATTGAAGATAATGACTAATGCTCCCTTTGCTCCAAATGAAATCTGTTTATAATACTTGAAGCACATCTGAAGGAAACTATATATAATCCTTACTCTGGGAGGAGGGTAATTAAAATGAACCTGTGGAGCAAGATTTGCCTGTTATTAAAGCATTATGAACACATGTGGAAAGCTGTTAGAACTCATTCTAATTCTATCTGCATTAAGAGTAATAACCTAGATACGTTCAGTACTCTTACAGTTATGCAAATAAATGCATAGTGTGTTAAAATACACTACTATACAAAAGTTTTCAATTAGTTTTGCAAATAAAATAAGTCTCTCATGGTTTTACATTAATCCTTTCTAGACACTTGGGAATGAGAAAAATATACAGACTTGACAACCACTCAAAGCAGGTCTAAGACAAGTCTATTGTTTCCTGACCCCAAATATTTGTTTCTTCTTCTCAGAACTTTAAGCCACACACTCATGGCCACGACACTTTCAGGAATTACTAAACCTCTGCTCTGAAATAACTTTGTTCAACAGCTGCAGAGGAAAGCGATATCTGGTAGGCCACTTCTTGCTGGCCTACATATAAAAAGAAAATACCCTAAAAGAGCATGTGAGACCTAATGGGCCTTTTCTGTCAAACACCACGGCAACTGTTGCTTTTAATGGAATTACTGCCTCATTTACATGAGGTTAGGTGGGAAAACAACCAAAAAATGTGACAACTTATTTCCCTTCCAGAAAACCTCCGAGAGAAAAAAGGTTGTAATGGGATTTCTTGAAGATCCCCAACTGCTATACCTCACATCTACCTCAACCAAAGCCTGAGCTAGAGGACTGCTTTGTCTGAAGATCTCAGCCAATGATCTGTGGAAAACTGTGAGGTGAAATCATTTGCTCAGTTACAAAACCTGGGAACTCTTTCTTCAACATTAGCTTTGCTATTCTTGCATACAACAGGCCCCCCACCCCAAATCCCACTGCAACCTTTTTCTGTTGTTCATATATTTTCTAGAACAGACATGAGCTGTCACATAGATGCATGCTAAAGTTCAGCATGTAGCAAGCATTTGGAAGAACCTACTCCAGCCTTTGGAGCACTAAAGGCATGTCAACATGGCCTCCAGGTGGCATCAAAGCAGGAGTCAGCAACATACAGCCTGCAGGCCAGATTTGGCCCACAGAGCCACTGGATCCAGCCCGCAAAGCCTGAGGATTTTGCCTTTGTCCATGCCCATGCCTATGCCTGTGCCAATGCTCAGCTAAGCAGCAAGGAGCTTTCCCAGGGCTCTCTTGCTGCCACTGTTTTCCCCCCTCCATCCCCTCTCCCCCTGGCTATGGCAAGGGTGCAGCTTCCAGTCAGTGAGGAGCTGTGATGGAGCTGGGCAGCTGGAAACTGTGTCCATACTGCTGCCACTTCTCTCTCCCTCCTTCCATCCCTTGCTTTCCAGTTGTGGCACAGAAGCGGCAATAGTGTGAATGCAGTTCCCAGCTGCTTGGCCCTGGAGCAGCTCTTCACCAGCTGGAAGCTACGTCCATGCTGCACTGGGGAGTGGGGGTGATGGGGACTGGGAGAAGCAGCAGCAGCACTTGGTCCCAGTGTGGGCACAGGCAACCCCCTTCCCTCCACTGCTGAACCCATCCAGTCTATGCTGGACGGAGGCCAGGTTGTTCCGGCTTGTAGCTTATCAAGACTGCTGGCTCCTACATAGGGAACACTTCAGTAAAGACTGGCATGCCCACTTCGCATTTGCTAAACTCAGAAATAGAGCTACCTTAGAGTGGCAATGAGCATGCACCATTAAGCCCTCTGTCTCAGGTGTGCTTCATGACACATGCCCAATGCTGCTCTAAGGCAGTTACATGAAGTGTTGTGGAGTTTAAGGTACATGAAGCAGGTGCGGCTGTGCTACACTGTGGTTCTCCTCCTTAGGGTCCAGAGGTAGTGCAGATGTTACCTAACTGATTGCTCCCAGGATCTGCAGAGTGAGTGCTAGTTAAGAGCTGCATCCTCTTCAGTCTTCACAGGACCTCTCAGATGCAGATTATGACAAGTCTGCCTGCTCCAATGGTGCTGCAGGAACAGCTAAACCACTCCTGCCTACCCTGCTGGAACTGAGCAGAAATGCTTCTTGGAAGGTACTAATAGCATACAACAAAGTCTCCATTGTGGTTGTCTCTGCTGTGTGCCTTCAAGTTTCAATTTGGTTAAAACAGCCACCTTGAGAGGACATTTAGTTCTTTTTTAAAAACACGAACGTGATGGGAAAAATAAGGCACAATTCCCAATTTTAAGCAGATATTGTTCCTTCTAGAAACTGCATTTCTTTAAAGACTGTGGTATGCAGATGTCTTGTCCTTATTTGTATCTGGTATTTTACCATATGGTGACCATGTTTATTTATGTCCATAATACAATGAAACTCATTTTATCTCAAATCAATCTGGCCAGCATAAGGAGAGCTATGGTGCAAAACTTAGTAACGTTAAAATTGACGTTTGTTTGTTCATATTTTCCAAGACAAAAGAACTAATCATTTCTGGTCATTTACAAAGCAAGGAATGATTAGTTCTTCTGAGGACTCCAGCTTGCTCCGTACCCTCCGGGCAACAGGAAATTCTATATTTTTCAGACAGAAATTTTTCCTCTGGTTCTGCCTCTAGCCCATTTAACAAGGAGTCTGGAACACCACAAGGGATCTAGTACTAACCAACTATGCATTTTCTTGCATCAAAAGAACTACTGGTATTTGAATCATATAACCGCCATCAGAGGCATGGTAGACCTTGAAATTCTGTTAACAACACTATCTTGAGAAAAATTTTTAAATGAAAGACAATTCGGCTCTAAAAGATTTGCCTTCTCCCCATAAGCATGGGCTGTAAAATTAAAGACACACAATTATACACATTCACAAGATTGTTCAAAAAACCTGGTTAATAGAATCTGTTCGCTTGATTTTGGAATCTTAGCATGGTTCTTCTAACTTAGGGGGGGGGGGGG